GCTTTAGCCTCCAGATTAGCTCCAGCACTGCTTAGGGAGCAGAGTTTCCATTGTCGCGCAGCTGCATCCAAGCCATAGATCACCAAGTGAAAGCATAACCTTGGATGTAATGGTGTAAAGCACACCGCCACTAGACCCCAGAGCAGTTCTGTGGATTGACAAATCAAACTTCTACATCTCAAAATCTGATTGACAAGTCTGAGTTTGGCATTTGCCAGAAGAACGGTATTTGTATGACTGTATTGTGCCAAGTGTAAAGTTCAGTAGAGGGGGTATTATGGAGTGGGGTTGTTTTTTCAGGATCTGGGCTTTGCCCCTTAGTTCCAGTGAAAGGAACTCTTAATGCTTCATGGTAGACAATCTCCTGCTCCCAACTTTGCGGGACCGGTTTTGAGCTGGCCTTTGTTCACCAGTGCACATAGCAAGGACCATAAACACATGGATGGCAGAGTCTGGTGTAGATTAACTTGATTGCCCTGCACAGAGTCCTTACCTCACCCCTTTGGGGTGAATTAGAGCAGAGTCTGAGAGCCAGGCCTTCTGATCCAACATCAGTGTGTGACCTCACAAATGTACTTCTGGAAGAATGGCCAAAAACCCATAAACACACTCCTACACCTGTGGATAGTGTCCCAGAAGAGTTGAATCTGTTTTAGCTGCAAAGGGTGTTCCAACGTCATACTGAACCACTATGGATTAGGAATGGGATCTTACTTAAGTTCATATGTGAGTCAATGCAGATGGTTAAACCTTTGGTGGAATATAATTTCACAAAGTCTAGTGTTAGAAAGTCCAAAGAATATTTCTGCTGTCTTTTCCACACTGGTGAAATTTCGAACTACTATTTGGTCATAGAGTTTATATTGCTTTAATTTTGCATGTGTTTCTTTTCATATATTTTCTAAATCTCTTTAAGGTTTTGAAACTTTAATTGTTGAAGATCCCAAAGAAATACGCATTTCTTCTGATTTATGCTTCTAGGTTAACAACTGCCAGTAAATTAACCTGTAATGACTTGTAATTGTGTTGTAGGCAAACAATGCTAAGAGATTTAGATATTTTAAGGGAATCAGTTTCAGTAAAGATCAAGAAAGGTTCAATATACACAATGATTTATTGGTTTTATACCATTGGCTGTCTTGTGGTGTATTGAACTGAAATATTTCAAAACTAGCAACAGTGACTACAGCTAAATTAATGTAGTCAAATTTTCTAAGACTGTTATTGATCGAAATGTAGAAATTCATAAAGCTTTGAAATAAGTGGTCCTTTTTATAATGCAATATACTGTATCATTGTTCGTGTATTAAATAAATGAATCCTAATGATGTTTCTTATTCAATTAATTTGTATGTGTTTTCTTAAAAGAGTAATGTAAAAACAGATTAATGTATAGATAGTCCTACAAGGCTAGAAATGAAAGTAGGTGACTCTGGTGCTGGTTGGATAACCATAGATGATCCTACATAAGAAAAACATTAAGAGTGGCAGCACCAAGGCTTTTATCTGTACTAACTATAGTTTTTTTCAAGTGCTGGAGTCATTACAGAGACATGTTAGATAACGCATGCTTAAAAAGATATGAAGAAAAGATGGCTGTTATTAATATAGATCTGTATGAAGTGGATGCATGTAAAATGTAGGGTAAGTGAACAAGATTGTTTTTCTCTGAGATTAAGTGTTATGTGCTTACATTAGTCTATATGTGTATATGGTCTTTATTTGTTGTCTTCGATCAAAGAGATCAAACCAAATATATTCTGCATCAGATGGCTTGTGTTCAGGCTGCATATTAAGCAGGATCACTCATTAATGCTAGATTTTTGGTTGCAAAGTTGTAACGTTTGCTTAGATTTACCTCTTCTATTCTCAGTATGTAATGGAAACTTCTCTTCACTGCTCAATCAGCTCAGTTTGTGAACCTTGGAATATAACAGTACACAACTATGGTCATGGTTCTTTTACATGGAACGGAGAGTGACTGGGCTCTCTATACTACCACAATGGTGCCGTTGTGCTGTAGTCCACAAGAGGTGAGTTCATGTGGAAAATATATATCCAAATTACTTTCTTTTTTTTTTTAATAAGACATCTATCTAGATCTACTTTAGGAAAAATTAAAGGGTCTTTTTTTTTAAGTTAGCTTTCCAATGCTACTTCTCCTCAACTCAAAGTTCAAGCTGCCAAGAGGGAAATCAGACTGAAACTGAACCTTGGAATCCATCAATAAATAGTCTACCGCTTGAGAACCAATTGTATTAAGTGTTTTTGTTTAGATAATAAGCACTATGACATTTGTTTATTTGTGTGTAAATGTCCTCTAAAGTTTTGTTTGCCTCCACTCCCAGGTCACATTCTTAAAGTCACCCATATTCATGCAGAGGGTCCAGATGGGACTTTGTGACCGGTGTCAGATTTTTTTATGATTGTCGGGACACCAAATTTTTTTTTTTTTTTATTTTGGTCCAGATAAGAAGAGGCAAGTTCAACTGCAAACAATTATGGCACATAACAGAGATAAGGTGGAAAGAGGTAACAAGCAACAAGGCCAATAGGAAGGATGAGGAGGTCACAGAGGTCTGCGTTTAATTTAAGAAGATGATGCAGAGACTGCGTCCTGATGAGGCAGACCTTCTTTTGCCACCTTGTTATAGCGCTCTGAGACAAAGCTAAGGCCCCAGTGCTCTGAGACAGGGTCCAATGTATGACTCAAACTGAATCAGGACTATAGAAAATAACCCAAAACATAGCACAGATCACTACCAGGAATGTGAACAGAAACCCAAAATATAAAACATTGTGACAATCTTAATAATTAATCTCTCAGTGTCAATTTTCGCTTTAATTCTTAACAGAAATTCATCTTACCTTTTAATGTAATAGAGGCTAATTAATGCATAGGTAAAGTTTGCATCCCTCTAAATGACTTATCAGTTATCTAGCCAACTGATCAAAAATCGAAAATAGCAATTAAAAAAAGATCGATGTTGTAAGAGTTTGTAGACTTATGCCTAGATTATTTTGGGTGCTTGTAGGACTTCTGTCCTCTAGAACTGAATGTTTATATGCAATAGCAGGTTGCTTAATCTGGAACGAAGTAAAGTTAAGTCACTTGCGTGGTTAGAATATGATGCCAGCCTTATATGCTGCCAGAAAATAGATGGTGTCTCTCTGAGCTTCTGTTCTATCTATATTGTTTCCATGTCGTGCATCATCCCTCCTCTGCCTCCCTTGTGGAAGCTTGACGTGACAAATAGCTGGATCTGCACTTTTCTGCAGCAAAACCAACACGCCCCTCATCATCGCTGGGTGCAAATTTGATCAGAACACACCCAGAATCCCTCAGCTGCTTGATGATGAATTGGCATATTAGGAACAATGTTTATGCATCAGGCCACATCCCCCCTAGAAAATGGCAGTAAATTGCCTCTCAGACAAATCTCTGGTCTGGGATTCCAGGCGATGAATTGCACCTCCTTCCTTGATCCCGTGTGTTCAGGGAAACTTTGTTGAAGAAGCACGATGATGTCCCTAATCAGCTCAGATTAGATTGTTGTTTACTTTGAAATTAGTGGCTTTTTACCACATTTCTTAAAAATCAGTCAAAGCTTGAGAAAAAACACAAAGTATCAAAGATCTGCATTTGGATTTTTATCTGCAAACTTTTTAGTCACTCAACAGGAGGCTCACTGGCTACAGTTATACGTAACGTCTGATGTCATTTTGTATTGAAAGAGTGAGTTTGTGAAGTCAGGAGTTGGACTCAGCTTTTCATACAAATGTGATAGAAATTGTCATCAAGGGAAGCTGGCCTGACTGCCTGATCCTGGTCCCGAAGTTTCCCAATGAAAACCAATAGCCCCGGGCTCATACAGAGCACCAGTAAGAAGAAAGAGGGAACCATGAGAAGAGCAATAAAGCTAATGCGATAGAGAAAATGGCTTTCTGAATAAAGGTGTGATGAAAGTCATGCCCCTGAAATCTGGGTGTGCGGGTCTCTGTGGCGGCGACAGTCTGATGAAGTTTATATTGGATTTTCTCAGGGTTAAATCGGCGTAATCATTAAATACCACTACTGACTTGTTAGAGTTGAAATTGATCCGTAGTATGTGTTCATAAGCTTTAATAACACTGGAGGAACAGGTTATGATGTTGGACCATGTATGAATAACATCCCAAAGTTATACAAACAAGCTACATTACTAGCTGTTAATAGGGATGCAGCAAAGTGGTAACTATGTCAAAACAAGCATGATTCATAATAAAACTGTGTGAAGCAACAAGAACATATTGATGAAGACAAGATGTTTGTTTTGGTATTAATTCTAATTCTTTGGAATTAAGTAGGCATATCCGCATAGGTCGTTCTCAGGACCTCTATTCCAGATGATGCTTCCAAGAATAATGGCCAAAAGGTCATTTGTACTGTTTTTACATTGCAGTAACAACCACTGGATCAATCCAGCTGCGATGAGGCTATAAAGCTCAATACTGAAGCCAATCAGAGTTTCATTGACTGGAAACTGCTGAAGTAGCAGACAGGCACTCAGCCAAAACAGACTGAGGTTTCTTCAGTTGAAGCAAGAAAAGCTTGAATTTTGAGAGGCTTTGGACAGGGACTTTCCAGGAATTTCTGTTCCAGAAAAACTGTCTGATGGCTCGGAAATGGAAAACGAGGGCCACACTAAGCAGTGTTTTTTTGTGGGGGATAAATGCATAAACTCTATTTATAAATATATATTGAATATTTGAACTACCACTACACTATATATATATATATATATATATATATGTATATAAACCCTATATATACCCTACATATACATACATCTAGTACTCAGAGTGTTAAGACACTATTGTCATTATGTTTGCATGTGTCCTGTCACTCAGACTCTCTGGGATTGTTGTTCATTGTCCGTTCAAATGTAATCACAAAATGCCCACCAGTTTGCAACCAGCACTCATCTGCCCACCCTCTCCATCCCTTTGCTTGTGTTTGCAGGTTTGCATCTGAATCACAGAGCTGGTGGGGGCCCGAGCACTTGGCCACGTGGACCAGATTGATGCCATTGTCTCGGCACACTGACCTTTGCTGTAATACCCATGGCAGACATCACAAACTCTCACATCAATTTACTCCAATTGGATGTGGCATGTCTTGGCTAACTCAATTTGTGGAGAAATGCACCTGTCTCTGCCTTCCCTCCCTATAGATTTACTCAAAGGGAGGGTGGGGAGAAGGCAGAGAAAGGGAGAGTTAAGGGAGAGCTTTAGGAGTGAGACACACTCCTGGTCTACTCCCCTTCCCCCTCCTCACCCCTAGAAACACTCACCCATATGCATATAAACACATACTTCTTTTTTCTCTATCCCTCAGCTCTTTTCCGTCTGACATACTTTGCAGATGTACCATCTCTGCACAAACATAAACCCCTTGGACTCGTGTTCGTGTGTTTGTCTGTGTGTGTTTCCAAGGTCTGGGCAGAGCGTCTGGGAGGAGCAGAAGGAGAGCCATTAGCCTAGCAGTAATCAGATTAGAGAGACGTTAAAGGGGATGTGAATTTAAACAGCCAGCAAAGAGAACAAGAGGAAAAGTCTGAGGTGTTATTAAGGTTGTTCATTACTCATACACTCTGCATGCTCATGCTTGTCTGCAGCATAAGCTAAAGTTTGGTTTGCAAGTGGACTTGTGTATGCAGCTTTTATGCATTAGAAAAGTTGAGTTGTTTTTTTCTAGATAGTTGGTTGTGATGTAATAATAAATAATCTGACAACAAATAATTTGCAGGTCAGTTCTATTTATAGTCTCTACCATCTTTAATCTACTAAATCAGGATAGAGCTAACGTGAAGTGAATAAAGAATAAATTCTCTATGGAGGGTGAAGGATAATGTTTGACTTTATGTTGGGGTGAATTTAGGTGTATTTAACATGCACAAGGTTAGCTGATTCTAGTCAGGTAATGCATTACATCAGCGTGGGTCCTCAGAGAGATGGAAGTCCATCTGTTGGTTTCAGAGTGTTGCTTTATGCAAAGTATGCAAGCTGTCAAAGATGAATAATATGTGTTGGGATCTGAGCATTAGGTAATGAGCAGCATGCTGTGAGGTGAGGCGTAACACAAACCACCACACCATCCTACCCTGTGCACCCATAGGGTTCACTTGTAACATATGCATCTGTTTTACCATGTTGTGATGGCCTACAATTATTCACTATGTTCACTACTGTGACAGTGCTTTAGTGATTTTTGATTGTGTTGTTGATGGCCAACTAAAATAAAAAATAACACACTTTGTATTTTTAACATAATCGCCACACTTCTGGGGTCTTAAGTCAGCAGGTGATTCATTAGCAATAGACACAGGAGACCTGTTCTGTCTAAGCTTTTCATACCCATGGCTGGAGTAAAATAAATTCTCTGAGCTGAATAGGGACAATATTTGTTAAATGCACCAACAGACACATATCTATTATCTTGACTAACTGAGGTGACCCTGATGTTTACTCCCCTGAAAAACTTCTGGTTCCTATTGGAGATGAAAGACACTTTAAAAAAATCAAATGAGATATCAGTGCTATATATATGTGTGTGTATATATATATACACTATATTGCCAAAAGTATTTGCTCACCCATCCAAATTATTGGAATCAGGTGTTCCAATCACTTCCATGGCCACAGGTGTATAAATTCAAGCACCTAGGCATGCAGACTGTTTTTACAAACATTTGTGAAAGAATGGGTCGCTCTCAGGAGCTCAGTGAATTCCAGCGTGGAACTGTGATAGGATGCCACCTGTGCAACAAATCCAGTCGTGAAATTTCCTCGCTCCTAAATATTCCACAGTCAACTGTCAGCTGTATTATAAGAAAATGGAAGTGTTTGGGAACGACAGCAACTCAGCCACGAAGTGGTAGGCCACGTAAACTGACGGAGCGGGGTCAGCGGATGCTGACGCGCATAGTGCGAAGAGGTCGCCAACTTTCTGCAGAGTCAATCACTACAGACCTCCAAACTTCATGTGGCCTTCAGATTAGCTCAAGAACAGTGCGCAGAGAGCTTCATGGAATGGGTTTCCATGGTCGAGCAGCTGCATCCAAGCCATACATCACCAAGTGCAATGCAAAGCGTCGGATGCGGTGGTGTAAAGCACGCCGCCACTGGACTCTAGAGCAGTGGAGACGCGTTCTCTGGAGTGACGAATCGCGCTTCTCCATCTGGCAATCTGATGGACGGGTCTGGGTTTGGCGGTTGCCAGGAGAACGGTACTTGTCTGACTGCATTGTGCCAAGTGTAAAGTTTGGTGGAGGGGGGATTATGGTGTGAGGTTGTTTTTCAGGAGCTGGGCTTGGCCCCTTAGTTCCAGTGAAAGGAACTCTGAATGCTTCAGCATACCAAGACATTTTGGACAATTCCATGCTCCCAACTTTGTGGGAACAGTTTGGAGCTGGCCCCTTCCTCTTCCAACATGACTGTGCACCAGTGCACAAAGCAAGGTCCATAAAGACATGGATGACAGAGTCTGGTGTGGATGAACTTGACTGGCCTGCACAGAGTCCTGACCTCAACCCGATAGAACACCTTTGGGATGAATTAGAGCGGAGACTGAGAGCCAGGCCTTCTCGTCCAACATCAGTGTGCGACCTCACAAATGCGCTTCTGGAAGAATGGTCAAAAATTCCCATAAACACACTCCTAAACCTTGTGGACAGCCTTCCCAGAAGAGTTGAAGCTGTTCTAGCTGCAAAGGGTGGACCGACGTCATATTGAACCCTATGGATTAGGAACGGGATGTCACTTAAGCTCATATGTGAGTCAAGGCAGGTGAGCAAATACTTTTGGCAATATAGTGTATATATATATATATATATATATATATATATATATATATGTTTATATATATATATATATATATATATATATATATATATATATATATATATATATATATATATATATATATATATATATATATTTATATATATATATATATATATATATATATATATATATATATATATATATATATATATATATATATATATATGTTTATATATATATATATATATATATATATATATATATATATATATATATATATATATATATATATATATATATATATATATATATATATATATATATATATATATATATATATATATATATATATATATATATATATATATATATGCCTCTGAAACAATACAGCAAATAACAGCAGGGTGTAAAATAAATGCAGGCAGGAAGTGCATACATGTAACGCCACAACCAGGTAGCTGTCATAGTGTACAGGAACATCTGCCATGAGTATGGGCTGGAAGTCCCAAGGTCAAAATGGAAGACACCTCCTAAGGTAGTTGAGAATGACCGAGCTAAGATCCTATGGGACTTCAAGATCCAGACTGACAAACAGATGATGGCTAACCAACCAGACATCGTGTTGATCGACAAACAGCAGAAGAAGGCAGTAGTGATAGATGTGGCAATCCCAAGCGACAGCAACATCAAGAAGAAAGAACACGAGAAGCCTGAGAATTACCAAGGGCTAAAAGAGGAGCTAGAAAAGATGTGGAAAGTAAGAGCAGCAGTGGTGCCAGTGGTAATTGGAGCACTGGGGGCTGTGACTCCCAAACTGGGAGAGTGGCTACAGCAGATTCCAGGTAAAACATCAGAGGTCTCTGTCCAGAAGAGCGCAGTCCTAGGAACAGCTAAGATACTGCCCAGAACCCTAAACCCCTAAATAAGACTGTTTATGAAACTAAACCAGGTGAAACTAAAACTTTTCCACATGGTATGAGGAGTACTGGATAGAGCCCATTGACAGATGAAAAAGATTTTTATCTTTAACGCAGAATGTTAACACATTTTTTTTCTTCAATCTTGGTGCTGCTCTAAGTAGGTCACTTTGTCAGCTTAAGGCATACTTTAGAGTCAGTCCATTTTACACGATTACAATAATAATGATTAATCAGTTATTAAATTAGTTGACAAATATTTCAAGTCACAATTCATCCGATTAATTGTTTCAGAATCAGACACACACACACACACACATATATATATATATATATATATATATATATATATATATATATATATATATATATATATATATATATATATATATATATATATATATATATATATATATATATATATATGTGTGTGTGTGTGTGTGTGTGTGTGTCATCATCACATTCAGTAGCCAGAAATTTCAAAGTGCCATGAGAAAGAAAGAAAAGCAAATTTTACTGCTGTAAATTTGATTCAAGAATAAAAGTGAGTAATTGAAATGAGATAATAAAATAAAAAGGTCAACTGAATGATAACTTTATTAATTATGTTTATATAGCACTGCCAAAGGCTGCTCTGAACAAATATGTTTCTAATCTTATTCTAAAACAAATTGGGGTTTCAGAATTGTTACCCTTTTCCGGTGGTTTATTCCAGATTAGTGTTGCATATGAACTAAAAGATGCTTTTCCATGTTTGGTTCTGGTTCTAATTATGCAGAATAGATTTGTGCCAGAAGACCTGAGAGGTCTTAGTGGAGATACACTGACAACAACTCTGTACAGTAATCCTAAGCCATTCAGTGATTTATAGACTGAAGAAGTATTTTGAAGTCTGTTCTCAGAGATATGGGGAGCCAGTCTCAGAACTTTAACCCTTGGATTATGTGCTCTGCATTCTTAGTTTTAGTGAAGATATGGGCAGCAGGAGATCAGCCTCAGCTTGCTGATCAAGTTTTTAGTCAGATCTGTGAAGTTCTGTTGCAGCAATCAGTTTGACATGAGTTCCTTTTTCATGATCCTGCTAAAACATTAGTACGTTAATCTTAGAGACATTCTTTAGTTAATAGAAGGCTGACTTTGTTGCTGCCTTAATGAGCCTCTGAAGGTTCAGGTCTGAGTCCATCCCTCCACCCAGATTTAGAGACTGATTGGTTGTTTCCAACTGTCTTAACTGAAGCTGTGTGCTAATATTTAAATGCTCTTCCTTTGATCCAAAATGCATTATTTCAGTTTTGTTTTAATTCAGCTGAAGAAAATGCTGGAACATCCATGCCTGGATTTCTTCAATGCATTTACCCAGCATTTGAATGGAATCATAGTCACTTGGTGGCATCATAATGTATATCTGTATGTAGTTTTTGTATAAGATTTAGATTAAGATATTGTGCTAAAACACCAAGATAAATACAATAAGTTGATTTTTACTTTTTCTAAGGGGGGTATGGTGCAGCTGAATACAGCCATTGAATCATGTTGCAAGTAGAAAAGAATATGTTTAGAAATATCTTAACATAAAGGTCTCCTTTGGTGTTTAATGAACACTGTGACTTTGTGTGTAAGTGAGGAGCCATTGGTAAACTTCACCTTATTTTTTAGAAAACATGTTTCTCCTTTAAAATTTTTGTCCCGACCGATATATGTACTGCAGATATATCTTTTCTCTGTAACACGTCATGCATGGACATTTGCACACACATAAAAGGATGTTGAGATAACATTTACAGGTCTTATAGATTTTGCCTGCAGTGGTATTGACAGGCGAGTCAATAAGCCAGCAGGGTAAAGACAAATCTAACCTTACTATTCACTTAACATCGACTTGGGTGGAATCTCCTGGAGGACACAGCGAAAAGAGCAATGCAGGGCAACATACCAGAACGCCATGTGCGATGTTAGTGCTCATCTGATGACTGACAGAGAAAGTGCTGCTACTAGTGACTCACAGTCACTTTAACACCAGGTGTGTGCATTTATCTGAATGCAATTTATTGCAAAAAGATTGAACTATCTAGGCACTATGTTTACTTTCTAGGATTTTACCTAGAAGTATTTTATAACCTTTAAAAGAACCTAAATGTTATCACTGCCCCAGTAAAGGTAAATAAATCATTTACCATTGATCTCTTGCTGAGGTATAATCCACTAATAGTAGAACCAACAATGGAAAATGATGTGCTGCAGTCTCTCCATAAACTCATTCAATACACACATCATACGCTCCAAAAATGAACTAGAAATAAGTAAAAATCTCTTAAATTACATGTATTAACCCCAATATAAGTTGTTAGATAAGATTATTTACCAATGGAATGAGCATTTTTAATCTTAAAATGAGACGATTAGATAATATGCACTTGAAAAAACACACTGCAATTGTTTTTTTTCTTATTTTAAATGTAAATCGTCTTGTTCCATTGGCAAAGTGTCTTACTTACCTCTTCATTTATAGAAAACAAAAGCACTTACTGTAAGAAATAATACCTTTTTTTTGCAGCCTATGGTAATTTTTTTCAGTCAGTTTTTTATTGCCATGTTTCCAGAATATGTTTTTTTTTTTTTTTTGCATTAAATGTTTTAAAAAATGTCCTTAATTTATATGTACAAGTTCAAATAAAAATATAATTAATTATGGCAAATTGCACTAAAACCAAAATGCTGGAGAGTTTAGCATCTGGAGAGCTGTGAGGGTGCTCCGTGGCTATTGAAATATAAAGCCAGAACTGTTACAGATGTTTCAGTCAGCCTAATTTAAGTCTAAATGACAGGTTTGTGTCCCCTGTACAGTTGGCTGTCAGTTGTTGAAGGGCAGCAGATCATGGGATGGTTCTACTAAAACCCAAGAGGTTTCATTGTGGTACAGAAACAAAGCAATTTTCACCAAAAACTTTTTTTTTAAGAGGAAAGACAAATAAAAACCTGAAACACTTGTATCTAATACTGTGTTCTAATACTTTTAAATTAAATAAAAATCAAATAAAAAAGATACCAAGGAAGATGGGTAGGGGGAGGTAATGACAATGATAACACAGACCTGTGTCAGTCTGGATTGAAAGATTATAACTCAACTACATGCTTAGTAAGACACAAAAACAGGCATTTTACTTTGACTGACACACCAGACAAGCACAGGATGAACTGGAGAAGCAATGAGGAAGCTCAGGTGGCAACTATGGCAGAGCTACAGACTCCCCAGCTCACTTTGGAAAATCTGTCAGATATTAGTAGGGCACTCCACAAATCTAGTAATTTTGGGAGGCTGGCAAGTATAAATACATTGTTGGGTAAAGTAATTTTGAGGTTTCCATAAAGTTATAAGGAAAATTGAAGGACATATTCAATAGTTAAGATCAAATTAGACTTCAGCTCAAACAACCCACCCAAAATTTAAGCCTAAATCTAGTTAATACCTGTGGCAAAACTTTAAGATGTATTTTTACAAATGCCCTTTGTCTAATCTGAGTGACTTTTTTACAAAAATATTTTGCTCAAGATGTATTAAGCTAGTAGATACATGCCTCACACATAGTAGCTGCAGCCACCACACAAGTTTGGATTCGGGGGGTTGAATACTGACCAGTGGTCTTAAACTGATGATGTTGCAAACCAAAAATTATTTTCATTTCATTTAGTAATGTGCCTTTGTCTATTAGATCATATGCCAACATGTATGGGGAGCTAATGTGTTAAATGGTAAAAACTTTAAAAAGTATGAAATCTTCTTAACCCTCAATTGAATATTTTACCTAAAACCATTCGTATTAACTTACTGAAACGTCTTTATTCATGGTAGATGGTAAATGTTAATCAGTCATCCAGCATTATTCATCCTGGCTCAATTTATCAGCTCCTTTGTTAAACTTGTTAACTAAAGGAAAATAAATGGATTTTGGGCCAACTGTCCAGCAACCCTGTTCCAGAGGGCATAAGGTCAACCAAATAAAGAATTCAAAAGTTGGCTAAAAGGCAGGAATCCACCAATTTCAGAAGCCTTTACAAGTTTACATTTTATCACACCTACTTCCTGATTACATATAAAAGACTGATAAATGTTATTGTAACATAAGTTAATTCTGTAACTTTAGAGTTTAACATTTTCTGAACAACTCCTTAAATGAGAATAAATTAGTACATGTAGAATGAAAGAAGTATCATCACTGACTAAGCTAACATAAAGGATGAAACCTGTCTGTTGTTAAGTTACATGTTCAGCAGAAGTCATGGTGTTTAAAAAGAGCAGTTTGTATTTTTGAATTTGAGTTCTGTGCAGAGGTCCTCAGAAGATTGTATCTGAGGATCAGTTGTGATAACAAACATAAGACATAATGAGAAGAAGACAGGAAAAGTGAACAGAAACTCACTTATTACAGTAAAACACCCCTGAACCAAAATAACTTAATCTCCTGTTATACTTTAAAATAAGATCTACCTGTAGTTAATACTGCCATGTACTGTATCGCTTATCATTCTTCACCCATCTTTCTCTCTTAGAGGCAAGAAGCATTCTGGGTAATGTAGTAAATCACCAGCTGAGCCAGACCAAGGGAAATTCTTCCTATTTGCAAGAAAAGAGAGAAAACAGCTTCAGCAGATGGTTGCTCACACTGAGTCTGGTTCTGCTGGAGGTTTCTTCCTGTTAAAAGGAAATTTTCCTCTCCACTGTCACTACAAGCATGCTTAGTGTGAGGGATTGCCTTCAAGTCGATGAGTCGATGCAATCAACTGGTTTTCCTTAGATAGAAAACTTTAAATCAATTTTGCTGTGTGATCTGGTTGAATTGTCTCTGTCTCTGCCTTAAGATGACGTTTTGTGAATTGGCGCAATATAAATAAACAGAATCACATTAAATTATATATATTATAGATTATAGCCTATCATCCCAAAGAATAAAATCTGCGGTACAATCATTTTCTACATTCTGAGCTCAGTTTAATTTAAAGGAAACTAGAACATTTGCCTACAAAATCATATAACTGCTTTTTTCCCCCTTATGTTTCCAGCTAAAGGTCCAGTGAGTGACCTATTTGAGCCACGCAGCAGAGTGACCCCCCATGCCCCCTCACACCCACTACCACGACCCGTCTCTTTGCCCCACTCCCCTCCAGAATGCTGAGGCATCACTGCTCCTGAGCACACAGTCCGGCAGCACCCCCTGACCCCGCGCTGTCCCCCATTATAGAGCAGTCAGAAAGCTTTTAGGGGCTCCGGTAACGCTGAAAGATTGATGGCGTAAAATGGGATGGAGGAGGGGAGAAGAGCAGGTGGTTAAGAAGAGAATGTCCTCCTTAATGGGTTGCCAGGAATGTAATTCAATAATTATGAAAAGTGACTCAAGAGAGCAGGCTGGATGGATGGATGGATGGCTTCTGATGGAGGCTGGTAGCTCCTTTGGTGTTCATGCCTTGGCATCCTCAAAGCGACAGAAACAGGTGAGCAGATTTCTCGCACCCAGTCTGCCTGTATTTAGGAGGAAAAGCCAAATACAGACAGAGTACGACTTGCATCATCAAAATCAAAACAATTTTTACCTTTTTTTGTTGTGTTAAACGTCATTGGTTAGAAATGCTGCCTATAAAATAAAATAGAAAATTATCTTTTTATTTAATGAAAATAATAGCACTATAATAAAGTAATTGATTCATAAGCAGTTAACAAAGATTCCCAATGTTTGGGGAATAAAAGGTGCACTCAGATTAAATAGTTTACAAGCTAATATGCACCGTCTAGTAAAGGGAATACTGTTATTCTGTTGTAGTAAGTCTAAAATGTATGAATTATTCTTACTTCTGTGGATAAAAGTCCACTTTTAATGAAGTTACTGCTAGTGTTTTCAGTTTAATATTTATATTATTTACAATCAGTTCAATCCTAAAATAATGAATAATTTTGTTAATTTTTTTTTTTTCTGGACTGCGAAATACATGCTTGTAAAACAAAGATCACTGATTATGTCTTCACTGATTATCATTTGAGGGCAAAGTTGAACTGTTTCCAGTAAAAAAATATTTTTTTAATGATTTACTCAGGTGGCATTGGGGCTTTCTCTAAAAAGCTGCAGGAATAATATGAAGTTTGTTTAAAAAAAAAAAGAAAAATGAAAAAAATATATGCTGAATAATTCAGTGTGTTGTGTTTTTTCATTTTATTCTTACTAATGATAATAAATTTCAAGTTTTTATTTGATTTAATTGAATTTATGATCAGGTGTTGTATTACTTGCCCTGCGTTACTTTAATGGACTTTCTAATTAAATTGTTATGCCGCCTCTGTTTCAAATGTATTTACAGGTGGACAGCTGATGTGAAACACAAAATTATATTCGAGTTATCAAAGGACAGGATAAAAAAAGAAAGAAAAAAAAACTCTCCAGGGGTGCAATGATAATTCTATTATTCTTTCAGGTTAATTTCTGCTCCCTTTCATTGCTCAATCATCTGTTCTTCCACTGTCAGGTGAGTCATGCTCTTTTGAAGATAAAGATCCATAGATGCGGAACATCTCAGATAACATTTTTTTGGTTGAAGGTACTTGAGAGAAAACCACTCTGGATATAATAAGATGTAAGATCAGCTGATGTTTGCCGGTGATGTTTTCACTTCACTTCTTTTAGAGCCTCCTGCCTGCCACTTAGTAAAGCACTTTGTAATTGCTGATTTTAAGTGCATTTTACATTAGATACTAAAGACATATGCAAGGCCTTTTCTACCATCTGAGCCCATTAGCCAGTGAAGATGCTAAATCTTCTAATGCATTAGAGAACGTAAGTCAGAGAAAGGGAGCTGGGCTTGGTTTGTGTAGAACACATTTTAGACCAGGCAGGCCTTCACCTGCCTGTTGTTACTCCTTAGTAGGTCATATTTTGAATGTTTTGTATAACTCTTAAACAGTCAATAAATCTCAAAAAAGCTTTACAATCTAATACAATCCATTATGGATAATAATTTTCTCAATACTTTGAATTTTAAGCTACCGGATTTTATTTTCAAAACTTTTGCATACATTTAGCCTTTTGTCAAAGGCTGGCTTTTTATAGCTCCCCAAATACATGCTGTGTTTGAGGACCAGTGGGAAGAATGCATAGAGCTGTGGTTTATCTTTAAACATATTTAGGCTAGAGAGGCATTCAAAGATCAAAGTTCTTCAAGAATTTGTGTCAAGAGCTGATGCTTCAAGGTGTCCTCCATCCATTGCGTGAACTTGACATTTTTTAATTACAGAAAAGAATCAGCTTGTAGAGATGTACTCCAAAAATGTTGGGTTAGGAAGGGAGGATTTTACTTTGATTTTTATTTATTTCCTTTCTCTTTTTGGGAAAATTTGGAACTAGAACTAAACTCTACCTTGTACTTTTCCATGACACACAGCTTGATTTTGGTGTATCATGCACCCCCGCATTCAGACAAAATCAGTCTCAGCTGTTCCGATTTTCTTTGCTTTTTTCATGGTAAAACTTTTAGTGGTAAACTTTTAGGAAATATTTTAGTGAAAATAATCATTAGAAGACATAAAGAAAATCAGAATGACAGCAAAGGGAGTGTAAAAAGAAAATTAATCAAATTAATTTAACTGAATCAAAATCCCAGTACATAGCGATGTGGTTGTATTGTAGTTGACTATACAAAGCTCTTCTGATATGAAGGCAGTTTTGGGCTATGTAAAGTTAGGGGTGGTAGGTCTGTTCTTTTAGTTTTTACTTTTAGGTCAAACAATTGTGTACAGTTGTATTTTATTTGGATTCCCTCCCAAATGTATGCAACTTCAATTACTCTGAATCCATAAGGCAGGACCTCAACAAGGCAAACATCAAACACCAGAGGCTAAATAATCAGTTTTTTAAACTTTATTTTAAAAATCAAACAATATAATCATTAATTTATATAAAACAAGTGTGAGCTAACAAAAAAAATCACAATTTATGTAAAAACAGGTGTCAGCTAAAAATCCCTTAAATAATGAGTTCCTTATATTCTAGTTCTCCATCATTTGACACAGTACCGGTACATAAGAGATTACTTTTTGACTTTAACAATTTATTTACAAAATCAAACAATTTAATCAATAATTAATGTAAAACAAGTGTGAGTTAAAAATCTCAATTAAAAACAGGTGTCAGCTAAAAATTACTTAAGGACCTAGTTATACTATAGTTCTCTATTATCTGACACAGTACATAAAATGTGGTTAAACCCCCATAACTCCATAAAACCCTCCATGTTCTGTGTGGCTCTGTGGAAGGGAAACTCCAGCCTAATCAAAGCAAAAATTACTCCTAAGAAAAAGTTTAAGTTAAAGTTTTCATAATGTTGTCATATCTCAATGGCAGAATCATTAATGTGAAAACATGCTTTAGGTGGCACTTGTGTTGTTCTGTTTTTATGGTTCTATTATCATTGTTTGTCACCTTTTGGTTGGTTGGTTTATTTGCATCTTTAAACAGCTGTTGATTCTGAATAATACTTAATGTTTACAATTGTTTTCTCATCAGACACTGAAAGTTTACCTTGTTTGACATGTTTGCAGTATTTTCTAAAGTTTTTGGAAAATGTTATTATAAGATATCAAACCAATAAAAATAGATACAGCTTGTTTTTTACTTCCGCCTTATATTGTTTGTGGGATTTCTGTTGATGTTCTTTTTTTTATCTACAATACACTTCCTCCTTTCCTCATTTTAGTATGTACCCACTTACTTACCACATTTACCAGGCGCACAATAAAGTGGGTACTGTGGAAGAGCAGTGTTTTGCAGTTTTGATGTGATTTGCAAACTGTAGCATATACATCTGACCTCAGCATGTCAATAAAGCCCTTCTCCAGTTGGTGAAAGTCTTTTATTCTACTCCTGCTCATCTTTCATCTGCTGTATTACATCCCTCCTCACTCTACCCAGGGTCTACTTTTGCTCTGTGTCTTCTTCCTTTTGCTCTCCAAGATGTATTGATAATTTCCAGCAAAAATACGATTTTGGGTTATTCTACAGAGCTAAAAATCTAATAGCAGACTCCTCAATTGAATTGTGCTTTACCGGAGTGGAGAACAATAAACAGGGAGGAGGGCTCCACTTCCAGACGCTCAACATGAGATTATTGTTCAAAAGAGATCTGATGCGATTACAGGAAGCAATAGATGATAATTACATCAGAACATGACTTTTCCTCTGCGAACACTTATATTCATCTGGGTTATGCATTGGCCCAAAACTGAAATGTGGCAACACACTAGATGACATGCCTCCAATGCTGTTGTCATGAAAGAAGGTGTGTGAAGTCAGAGCAGGGTCATGGGACCATTTCAAATGTCTGAAGGACTTCTTTCTCCATAATGGTTCTACTCTCACTCTTAACATAAACTTAAACACCTTATAACTTAGCTTTTTCCTAAAAAGCATACCTTATTTCTCTATTTTTTCGCAAGCCCTGTCTTTTTTGGTGTTTATACAGTATCATGTATTATCAGTAACTGCAAATATATTGCATATAGGAACGTGTGTTCCTATATCCAATTTAACTTAGACTTAGACAACCCTTATTGTCATGTTTTCTACACAGAGAGTATACAAAATGAAATCCCGATGCATACAACTTTTCACCAGTGAATGAGCAGTTTACAACAGTGAAATGAACATTACCATTTATAAGGTGTAGCAGTGATCAGAATATAAACAGTGTTGGAGAAAAGAAAAAAACTGTTTAAAGTGATGCTGCAAAAAGCATTGATATGGAAAGTTTCAGTCCAGGAGAGATTATGAAAAAAAAATGTCTATCAGTAATAGAAATCAGTAGTAGTATTAAAACTCAGTAGTAGGGATTATGAAAAATCAGCCATGTTGATAGTGTAAATATGATGTCTACAAGTGTGATGCAGAGTCTTGATTAGAGTTTCAACATTGCAACAGTCTGATGTCAGCGGGGAACAAGCTGTTGCAGAACCTGCTGGTGCTGCATCGAATGCTGCAAAGCCTCTTCGCAGAGGGCAGCTGGGAGAACAGTCCATGGTGGTGGTGTGAGGGGTCTGATAATGTTACGGGCTCAGGACACACAGTATGTCCCGCAACCAAAACAAAAATAATGGTGAATATGAAGGCATCAAATAATTAAGTATAAATGACTGTACTTAAGTAGCTTTTCTGTACTTTACTTGAGAATTTATTTTTCTGACCCCTTTATAGTTTCACTCACTCTCTTTGAATAAAAAAATATCTGTACTTTCTACTTATTACTTTCTCAAAACCTGAGTGTTTCTTCTCTGCATTTTGATGAAATCATAAGGTAGCAGCCACAACAAAACAGTCTGAAAATCAAAAGAATCTGTTCAGCTGGAGCTCAGTTTGTTTATAGAAAAACTCTGATAGCATGAATGAAGACAAGGGGGCTGGTAATGTTGCAGATGATGGATAAGTATGAGGTGCCCCCAGGGACATAAATCAGAATTAACTTGCATATACACATATTAAATTACACTCTTCCATATAATATACTGAAAACCTCACACAAACACTAGTAAAAAGCTCTCACATAAACTAGTGAAAACATTGACCTCTTATATAATCTACTCAAAAGCTCTCATACAAAGTAGTGAGAACTGTTCATATAAACTGGTGAAAAGCTTTACCTTTCATACACACTACTAGAAAGCTTTCATATACACTATTAAAAAGCTCTCATATACACTACTAGAACGCTCTCATATACACTATTAGAACGCTCTCATAAACACTATTAGAAAGCTCTCATATACACTATTAGAACGCTCTCATACACGCTACTAGAAAGCTCTCATATACACTATTAGAAAGCTCTCATATACACTATTAGAACGCTCTCATACACACTATTAGAAAGCTCTCATACACACTATTAGAACGCTCTCATATACACTATTAGAACGCTCTCATATACACTATTAGAAAGCTCTCATATACACTATTAGAAAGCTCTCATATACACTATTAGAACGCTCTCATACACACTATTAGAAAGCTCTCATACACACTATTAGAACGCTCTCATATACACTATTAGAACGCTCTCATATACACTATTAGAACGCTCTCATATACACTATTAGAAAGCTCTCATATACACTATTAGAACGCTCTCATACACACTATTAGAAAGCTCTCATACACACTATTAGAAAGCTCTCATACACACTATTAGAACGCTCTCATATACACTATTAGAAAGCTCTCATATACACTATTAGAACGCTCTCATATACACTATTAGAAAGCTCTCATATACACTACTAGAACGCTCTCATACACGCTACTAGAAAGCTCTCAAACACACTACTGGAAAGCTTTCATACACACTATTAGAAAGCTAAAATATATGGTCCCCCTCCTTTAATTTAGGCAAACATTGCTCAAATATCACCGAATCCAGATGGTTTGTTGTTGATGAAGAGAGGAATAAACACAGTTTAAGATTTGCAGCTAAATTAATTTGTTTCCATATTATGGAACTGCTATCAGGCACTTCCCATCATCTTATATCAGTAATAAAAAATTATAAATACAAATTTGGTATTTGGTGACTTGACTTTTATTTCTGTCAGGCTGACGTGAAAAAACTTGGAAAGAGACTGATTCTCTTGGCGTTTAAAATAACAACACAAAACAGCATAAGAAAACCGCATTTATTTTTTTTATTTTACAATTTTGTAAACAACAGCGGCTGATTAAACTAAATGTCTCAACCTTGTATAATTTTACGACTTTTTATTTAACCAAGAAATGATCCGAAAGGCCTGGGAAATGATCAGATCCGCTTATGTGGCTGCAACGCGCGGCGCGCTCCCGACACAGGTGGAACAGATTTTCACATGGGAACAGAAATTCGCACAACACCGGAAAAGGATCTCTGTTGAAGCAAAAACATAAAAAATAAAGTCGAGTAATGCCCATGCTTCTGTGAGTTGTTTAGCGGATAGCTGAGCATGAATCAATAATTTTATTTGATACAATTTCGGCCGGAGATAGCACAAAATGTACGGAGCTAGCCAGAATGACCTCCGTTTAAAACAACTTCCGGTGTAATGACGGTCCTTCCTGTTTCACTGAAACGCCTTCCGTTTCAACTGAAACACCTTCCGTTTCAACTGAAATCCGCTAATAGCTTTTCAGTAGTGTGTTTGAGAGCTTTCTAGTAGCGTGTATGAGAGCGTTCTAATAGTGTATATGAGAGCGTTCTAATAGTGTATATGAGAGCGTTCTAATAGTGTTTATGAGAGCGTTCTAATAGTGTTTATGAGAGCGTTCTAATAGTGTTTATGAGAGCGTTCTAATAGTGTTTATGAGAGCGTTCTAATAGTGTTTATGAGAGCGTTCTAATAGTGTTTATGAGAGCGTTCTAGTAGTGTATATGAGAGCGTTCTAATAGTGTATATGAGAGCGTTCTAATAGTGTTTATGAGAGCGTTCTAATAGTGTATATGAGAGCGTTCTAATAGTGTTTATGAGAGCGTTCTAATAGTGTTTATGAGAGCGTTCTAGTAGTGTTTATGAGAGCGTTCTAATAGTGTTTATGAGAGCGTTCTAGTAGTGTTTATGAGAGCGTTCTAATAGTGTTTATGAGAGCGTTCTAATAGTGTATATGAGAGCGTTCTAGTAGTGTTTATGAGAGCGTTCTAGTAGTGTTTATGAGAGCGTTCTAATAGTGTTTATGAGAGCGTTCTAATAGTGTATATGAGAGCGTTCTAATAGTGTTTATGAGAGCGTTCTAATAGTGTTTATGAGAGCGTTCTAATAGTGTTTATGAGAGCGTTCTAATAGTGTTTATGAGAGCGTTCTAGTAGTGTATATGAGAGCGTTCTAATAGTGTTTATGAGAGCGTTCTAATAGTGTTTATGAGAGCGTTCTAATAGTGTATATGAGAGCTTTCTAATAGTGTATATGAGAGCTTTCTAGTAGCGTGTATGAGAGCGTGTAATTTAATATGTGTAT